ATGACTGCAATTCCTGCATTTTCTGAAACAGATTTTTGGATATACAGCATTACATTATGCTGTAGATAGACTGAACCTTCAGTTATGTACTTGCATAGTATGTTTATGCAGGGGTCATCCTAAGAAAATTTTAGAACTGCCCATTTCGACAAGAACAGAGGTAGTGAACACAGGCTAACTATGTAGCAGACAAGGTTCATGCATTAGTCACTGCACCAGAAACTCCTCTTCAATGAGACATTTTAATTTTGCCATGGCGTATTAGATACCTCAATAGCTAGGAGGGTCCTTGGGACAATGATCCCTTGGAAAATTTTGAATTTTAAAAGTCCAGAATGGTCATTTCATGCATTTTCAGAGTGAAAGCTGGATTTACTTTTGCCTTAAATATCCTGTATAGGTGCTTAATGTATAATTAATTTTCATATAAAGCTCAAAAACTGGATTTTAGAACTGCCCATTTTAAGTTTTACAATTACCCATTTTACATTTAGAACTACCCATTTTAACTAAGCTTGATAAACTTAGAGGGCCCGATTGATTTTGGAAAATTTTGAGGACATGCCTTGCCAAAACTTTGGCCACCTTACATTCATGACAGTCCTGCCTTAGCTTTGTGCCTTATTATGCACAAAGTATAATGTATTTCCCCCCTATTTTTTCTGGTTTAAATTCATGGTAGAAATAAATAAAGTAATATCCAATATTAAGGATATCTTAAGGTAAGACACTGAGTCACTCATCATTCATGACATCATAATGTTGAGAACAAAAGACTGCAGTCTACAGGAAGGTAAATTTTATGCTGCATGTAAGAATAAGCCAGTCTTACACGCAGGACATGCAGTGGAATATTATTTCAAATTAACATGATGAATTAGCAGTATATTGCTTTGGTTTCATTCAATTAATATATTGTACATAAAATCTCACTGTCTTTAAGCTTTTGAATGAACTATACAAACAAGATCTTTATGCTGGCTAGGCCAATTTGGAGTGACCATTTTATGAGATCTTCAAAGAAACCTTATCAGTGAGTGACTGTTATTGCATCGTTGAATTCAATTTAGCTCCATTGTGAGTTTTTCTAAATTTATGTTTACAAATTATTTAATTATGAGAACAAATGATGGACTGCGGCCAACAAGAATGTGAATTTTTGAAAAGGTGTATATCTTCTAGTCTTCTTGCTTTCTGATACTTCATGATAAAGCAATGAAGAGTCTATATTGGTATGGTTTGAATATATTGTATTATGAAATCTCACTTGCTATATATAAGCTTTTGAATGAACTATTAATACAAACAAGATCTTTATGCTGGCTATAGGTCAATTTGGAGCGACCATTTTATCAGATCTTTAAAGAAACCTTGTCTGTGAGTGACTGTTAAAGTTAAATTCAATTTAGCTGCGTGAGGTTTGCTAAATTTATGTTGAAACGGAGAATTTTTTTAATTATGAGAACAAATGGACTGCAGCCAACAGGAATATAAATTTTTGTAAAGGTTTATATCTTCAAGTCTTCTTGCTTTCTGATACTTCATGATAAAACAATGAAGAGTCTATATTGCTATGGTTTGAATAAATTTTCAAAGCATGACGAGAACAACCTGCAACCTACAGGATGCAAAATTTATGCACATGTATGTTTTTCATACAGTCTTCCTAAGCCAATTTAATTGAGATGAGGAGTTTATATATTGATTTGGTATGAGTATGTTGTATTATATGTCAGGTACTTTATATTAGGTCTAGTATGCATGACCATCAATCATACACCTATATATCTTCATATTTTATGATTGTGATCCTGGCTGCATTATATATTTGCTATACTGTATGTTTGCATTTTTGCAATGTTTCGTTTAGATTTTGGTAACCTAAAGTTATAAAACTTGCAACTGACCGATTACAATTGTAATCGATCAGTCAATTGTAATCAAAAGTCCATGTACAGTACATGTACTTCATCGTACGAAATGAAGCATAGCTAACTGTGCAAGTTTGCAACAAATGAATTCAGGTGTAGTTTGTGAACAGTGTGGTTCCATATTCATCTGGTATGGTGTAAACGTAGTCTGAGTTTAACATTTTGGTTCAATTCCGTTCTCTGAAACATTGTCAAAATAAGCTATGAAACAAAACACCGCGTCACAGGTTTACAATCCTGATTAACGTGGCTCCCTACAATTTTTGAAATATGACAAAATCGTGATTTAGATTTCATTTTTTGAAGAGATGTTTCTTTTCAGAAGACAAAAATTGTACCACATATATTGAGCAATCGTCCAAGAGTTGAAAATTGTTTAAAAAAATGATGTCGTTACCGTTGTTATATATGGTAACAATGACGTTTATGGCCGACATTTTACTTTTAACACATTTTACCCGAAACTTGAGTAAAGTACATTATAATGTGGCTTTATCAAGATTTAATTGTTTTATAAAGGCAACTAAAGGTATATCATGATTAAAGATGTATTTAAACAAGTATTAAATGTCGATAAAGTGCGAACATACCTTTAATGCCTTTAAACAGAATTTTGTACGTTTAAACATACCTTTAACAGATTTAACCTTATAATGTGTAAAGGTCAAAAAAGGTATGGATTTAATTTCTTTAATCAACTTTAAAGATCACATATAAACTTGAGTAGAGTATGATGTGGCTTTATCAAGCTTTAATTGTTTTTGTAAAGGTAACTAAAGGCATATCATGATTAAAGATGTATTTAAACAAGTATTAAATGTCGATAAAGTTCGAACACACCTTTAATGCCTTTAAACACAGTTGTATACGTTTAAAGCCGGATACCTTTAGCAGATTTACCCAATCTGTAAAGGTCAAAAAAGGTATGGATTTCGTCCTGTGTTTAGCGTGAGGACTAAAGCGTACACAAATGTTTAGTGGGTCAACAAACTGTTCTAGGCACTAGTTGCCCTATTTTACTTATATTTGTTTACGATTATAGCTTTACATGTTAAAATAAGTACTACTTCAATGAAATTTTTCTCAATGACAGTATAATTTTCTTAGCACACTTATAACATGTAGTCATCGATATAATGCATAGTATCTTATAACTTCTATAACTTTTGATTGACGTTAAATAATTTAAATAAGCAATACAATAAAAAATTATTTAGCCACGGTAAAACCTTCAGGATACACCATTTTACAAGAAAAACATTAACTGGTTTACAAGATTGCCTTGCGTTACTATATATCAGGGCATTTTTTAAGAATTCATCAGGGGGAGGGGCATCTACAAAAAGGGACATACTATACCAAGTGTGGAGAAATGATAGATAGTTGTTGGCAACAAAACGTTTGGTGTGGTATCGCATTTAATAGTAGGGGGGGGGGGAGGTCTGGGGGTATTCTCCCCCAGAAAATGTTTGTATTTTTCCTCCCCTATGACTGCAATTCCTGCATTTTCTGAAACAGATTTTTGGATATACAGCATTACATTATGCTGTCGATAGACTGAACCTTCGGTGAAGTACTTGCATAGTATGTTTATGTAGATACCACAACTTGGTCACTCAGGGAGCAAGCTTGATAAACTTAGAGGACCCGACTCCCACGAAGCGCCACCATGGTTGGCACAGAACGGAGAAATTTTGAAAATTTTGTGTCTTTAAATCGTCGGAAATGGCATTTTCAAAGTCTTCTCTACCTCTTTTGTTAGGCCCTTTCATTAATTCTTTCATTATGATTTGTGAGTCTATGCTATCCGTGAGTCAGGATGGATTATTACGAGAAATGTTGTCAGCATCAAAATATCGATTACAGATATTTGATTATATATATATTTATAATTATATCTTTATATATATTTATAATTATAATTATATTTTGCTCTGCAAAATGGCTGCCAGTCAGGGACGAATGCTCTCCATATTTTTTGTTTATTTGGTTTTGTTCCTGCTCAATACTCAATCAAAATGTAAAGGGGCTGTTTTTAAACGATTGTTTTTGCGAAATATTGATGGATTGCTCGACGATGGTTGTCGTGCTTGGAGTTATTTACAATTTATTCAGCTACGGGTTGGTTACAAGCGGGAGTTGCTGCCATCCAAATATGGAGCGTCGCTTCCCGTTTATAAAAGTACTAAGCACGGCATGGTCTGTTTATCTCTACCAGCTAGTTTGTTTGTTATGGATCTAACGATATATGTTGACATATCCCGTAATCCTGGACCTTCTCAAGAGTTTATTCATCGGCAAAGTATGCCTTCTTTCTCAAATTCACCTCGGTCATGCCTCGATGCCCATACTGCTAAACAGAAGCTAAATTATTCTATAGAAATGTTGAGTTCAAGTTCCGTTTTTCAACCTTTTAACGACGTTGTTCTGAACCCACCTAACATATCTGTGAATATCCCAATCCGTGTTACTAACAGAGTAAGCACTCGCAATTATCGTCGTGTAGGAGCCAGAAACCTGGTTAAAGTTAACATCTCTACTGATGATTGCCTTAGCGATAAGACTCGGAATATTAAGAAACTTCACCTTTCAGTACTTAATGCCAGGTCAATCAACAACAAGTCCTTATTGATTAAGGATTATGTTGTAGAGAGAGAGATTGATATTTTAGCTATCACCGAAACATGGTTAAAAGTGGGTGAGACCAGTAATTATATCACGCGGGATATTTGTCCGAAAGGCTACAAATTTATTCATTGCCCAAGGGAGTATGCTCGTGGGGGTGGTGTTGGTTTACTTTTTAAGCAAAATCTTAAGATTAAGAAGTTGAAAACAAGATCTTACCAGTCATTTGAGTTGATGGAATTATTATTAAATGTAAACTCGTCTACCTACAGAATTGTTGTTATTTACCGTCCTCCCCTATCATCGTTAAACAAAGTAACATATTCTGCATTCCTTGAAGAATTTACAACGCTACTGGAGCACATCTCCCTAGCTTCTGGAAAGCTTATAATGGTAGGAGATTTTAACTGTCATGTAGATGAAGGAGGTTCTAATGCTCTCAGGTTTTTGGAGCTTCTGCAGATTTTTAATCTTGAACAGCATGTGAATGTACCGACACACAGTAGTGGACATACACTCGACCTTATTATCACCAGGAAAGATGAAACTATTATTAACAATCTTAAAGTATTCGACGCTGTTATTTCTGACCATTTTGTGTTGCATTGTAATTTAGACTTGGCTAAGCCTTGTAACGTAAAGTCGGACATTTCGTATCGAAAGCTTGGAGATATTGATACACTTAAGTTTCGTCAAAACATTCTTAGCTCGGAGTTATATACAAGACCTGCACCTACTCTTGAGGAGCGTTGTGACCAATATGATTCGGTATTATCAACATTGTTGGAGAACCATGCCCCACTTCGTAAAAAGACCGTAACGATCCGACCTATGGCTCCATGGTATAATGAAGATATCAAAAAGCAGAAAATAGTAAGACGATGCAAGGAACGGAGATGGCGTAAAAGTGGCTCACAAGTTGATAGACAGGCATATGCTGATCAGTGTATCCTTGTTAAGAACACAATCAGTGAAGCGAAAATGGAATATTATTCATCACTTGTTCAAGATGCTGGTACTGATAGTGGACGAGTTTTTCAGATTATTAATCGATTCCTACACAGGAAACCCGAAAAGCTATATCCTGTATTTGATTCGTCCACAAGGTTAGCAAACCAGTTTGCATATTTCTTCAACGATAAAATCTTCAAGATAAAACAAGGACTACAAACTCCATCGTCAGGGAATACCCGGGTTTTTTCCCACCTGGATAACCCAAAGCTAACTTGCTGTTTGGATGAGTTCACTTATACCACAACGGAGGAGTTATCTGATATTCTGAAAAAGACTAAATTAAAGTCCTGTGTGCTAGATCCAATACCCGCAAAGGTACTTTCTTCCCACATAGATGTGATTTTACCGATTGTCACGGACATTGTTAATTCATCTTTGGAAACTAGCCATGTTCCATCGTCCTTTAAGAAGGCTGCTTTATACCCGACTCTCAAAAAGTCTGTCACGGACTACGAAGAATTTTCCAACTTTCGTCCAATCTCTAACTTAAAGTTTATTTCGAAGATGACTGAAAAAGTGGTTTCCTTACGTCTATTGCATTATCTTCGAAGCAATGGCCTCGAAGAACTATATCAATCTGCTTACAAGCAATTCCATAGTTGTGAAACAGCACTTATTCGTGTACAGAACGACATTTTACGTGAGATAGATGGAAACTCGGGTGTCATACTACTACTATTGGATCTATCAGCTGCGTTCGATACGGTGGATCATACGATCTTGCTCCAAAGAATGTACTCTAAATTTGGCATCAAGGGTGATGCATTAAACTGGTTCAGGTCCTACCTATCTGATCGTTCTCAGACTGTTTATGTTAATGGCGCTACTTCAGACAGCTATGATGTGTTTTGTGGTGTTCCCCAAGGATCAGTCCTAGGTCCTATCCTATATCTGATATACACTTCACCGATAGGAGACATTTTACGATCTCATGGCATGAAATTTCATCTATATGCCGATGACACTCAAATCTATGTCTCGTTCAATTATAAAGATCAGAATGACCTTAAGCAAGTTAAGTCGTGCGTAGAAGCCTGCCTCGTGGATATTATGAACTGGATGTCAGAGAATAAATTAAAACTTAACACTGATAAGACGGAACTTCTTATTTTGAGTTCCAAATTCCGGGCAGAGCCTATATTCCCTGTGTTGACTGTGGGCTCCGATATAATTACTCCAACACCCCGCGCTCGGAACATTGGTGTTACATTTGATAAATTTCTTACAATGTCTATACATATTAATGACATATGTAAGTCAGCATTTTACCACCTACGGAACATTGCTCGTGTTAGAAGATACCTGTCGATGCATACTACTGAACAGCTTATTCATGCTTTTGTGACTATTAAACTAGACAATGCGAATGCATTGTTGTACGGTCTTCCTAAGGATCAGATTGGAAAGTTACAGCGTGTTCTAAACTCTGCAGCACGACTGTTAACTGGATCCCACAAGTATAATCATATTACACCTATTTTAATACAGCTACACTGGCTACCAGTCGAGCAACGGATTATATATAAGATTATTTTATTGACATTTAAAGCGTTAAATGGACTTGCTCCACAATACATTGCGGAGATGATCAGCCATTATGAACCTTCTAGGTGTCTTAGATCCTCTAAAGCTAATTTACTTAATGAACCAAGATTTAATGTAAATAGCTACGGTGGTAGAGCTTTTTACGCAAGTAGTCCTAGGTTATGGAATAAATTACCTGTCTCTATTAGAGCATGTACAGATATTTCTGAATTTAAGAGTAAGCTTAAGACCCACATGTTTAAAATAGCCTATGATTTATAGATGTATATAAGTTTATAAGTATATATAAGTAATAATTAGGAAATTTGTTATATTTTATTGTAAATTTCTAGATTAATGAATGTAAAGCGCTTAGATCTATGTGTTATAAGCGCTATATAAACTTGTGATAATAATAATAATAATAATTGTTATTCTAATGAGTTTCACAGCCATCTCCCATTACACGGTGGCTTGAAGATATGACTTTTATCTTCTCGTGTTAAAAAAATATATTTTACTCACTCGCTGCGCTCGTTCGTAAAATATTGTTTTCACCACTCGAAGATAAAAGTCATATCTTCGCGCCGCCGTGTAATATCCTCTATATATGTTCTAGTTTACATTGTCATTGAACAGATTGAGCATATAATAGAACAGAAGTAACTATAGTTACAAAAGGGCGTATATAATCAGTGATAATTTGCAAATGATAAAAATAGTCCTATGTAAGTCCTAATACAGGTATTTTTACAATAATATATATTAAATATAATCTAAATACATCTGTCGGTGAATTACATATATTATATTACACCGATCATATAATAATAATAAGTTAAAACTGAATTACACTGGTTTTACAATTACTGTATAAGATACTATAACTAAGAATATGTAGTAAGTTAAACATATAATTTAAGATATTAAACAAACAAATAAAGTAAAATAAAATCTCAGAAGTTGAAAGGAATCTTTCAACTAGAATACATACATGCATTACATACATCAAATTTATTTAAATACGGGAAAATCATCAGTAATTATATATAACAAATTTTAAAAATCATGCACATATTAAAATACTGTAAGTTCTACTGATTGCCGTGTGGGAGTCGGATCGATTATTTATTAAGAACGTTTCTAAACCCATCTTAAAAGAAGTGAGAGAGGTTACTAATCTTAGAGATGCAGGTAGATAACGTGATAAGGAAAGACTGTTTTTAAAGATTAAAACATTTGGATATTGTTTCAGTCGTTCATGAACGTTGTCCGGTGGTCATCCAGCTGAACTTTGGGAGGCGTATTAAAATATCCCTCATTATACGTATAAATGTAATGACGCCTTTCTTGTTTACAAGACATTACTTTTGAACAAACTAAGTAAGGTAATTTGAAGCTAGATTATTAACAGTACATTTATATGTCATTTCAGCTTCTAGAAGGTACAGTACAATGTATCCATTACAGGAATCCATCTAATAATATAATAATAATAATAATATAATAATTTAATTTGCCACCATTACAACATTTTGTAAGGAAAAAAAGAAATTATTTACAATAATTAATGATAATAGTGGCGAGGAAGCTTAAAAAAGAAACCATAAGGCTTATGTAAATTTAAGCTTCCTCATTTATCGAGGGTACAGTATATATAAATATCAAATAACATTTCAAGATTTGATAAATTATGGATAATATGAGTGTACAGTAGGTATTAATGGATAATAATTAAATATAAATTCACACCAATTATAAATAGGTACACACTTGATTCTATTAGCGCACAGTAACAAAGAATATTCGTTCATTTCGTTATAGATATTTGTATAAGAAATAAAAAAAATAATTTTAATGTATAAGGTAATTATTTATTTTATAATAAATAATTTTTTAATTGTCTTTTAAAAGAAACAAAAGAAGTAATATTAATAATATCAATAGGTAGTGAGTTAAAAAATTTTGGACCCTGAAATCTTACAGAAAATTGTCGGATATTTGTACGACACAATGGAGTTCTAATGGCCATCGCACTCCTTGTATTATATGAGTGGACTTGATAATTTGATAGAAACATGTCATTAAATTTATTTGGTAAAAGACCACTGCGGTAAGAGTACATAAATTTACCCAGTTGAAATAGAAGAATATCATTAACTTTAAGGACAGAACAGTTCTTAAATAAAGGTTCTGTATGTGCATCAAATTTACATTTATTTAGAATTCTAATTGGTCGCTTTTGCAGTATATTGATACGATGAAGATTATTTGGATACGTTGAAGCCCAAACAATATTACAATATTGGATATACGGGCAAACAATTGAATAGTACAAAGTGAGTAATGATTTCTTAAGTAGATAAAAACTGGCTCTTAACATTATTCCTATGGATTTAGACATTTTACGTGCTACATACGAAATGTGTGATTTCCAAGATAATTCCTCATCCAATACTACCCCTAAAAAGACAGTTTCTTTCACTTGCTCAATATATTCATTATTAATGATTATTTGAAAAGTATAATTACATTTCTTTTGTCTTGGTTTAAATACAATAAATTTTGTTTTTTCTAAGTTTAATGAAAGCTTATTTGATTTAAACCAGTCTGACAATTTTCTAATTTCAATATTCAAAATATTAGTTAATTCTATTGGGTCTTTATTCGAAATAAATAAGTTTGTATCATCCGCAAATAAGATAAGCTCCAATATACTTGACACATGGATTATATCATTGATATATATTAAAAAGAGCAGCGGACCAAGGATAGAACCTTGTGGGACCCCACATTGTATTTTATTAGGACAGGAACAGTAATCATTAAATTGAACGAATTGTGTTCTATTTGAGAAATAACTCTTCATCCAGTCCAAAGCTAATCCACGAATTCCGTAATGGTCAAGCTTATGAAAAAGAATATTGTGGTCTAAAGTGTCAAAGGCTTTAGATAAATCTAAAAATACACCAACTGCAAACTGTTTTTGATCAATTGCTAGTGATATTTTATCATAAAGATCCACCAGGGCTAAAGAAGTGGAATGGTTTTTTCTAAAACCATATTGGTTTTCAGACAAGATACTATTTTTATTTAGGTAATTTAACATCCGGTTATATATAACTCTTTCCAGAAATTTCGAGAAACAAGGAAGAATAGAAATTGGTCTATAATTTGTAAATAATGTTCTATCACCTGATTTAAACAAGGGAATAACACGAGCAATCTTCATTTCATTTGGCACAATACCATGAGTAATTGATAAGTTGATAATATGAGTTAGAGGTTTAGCAATTATGTTTATAGTTTGCTTTATTATTAACATGGGAAGTTTGTCATATCCAAATGTTTTGTTTGATTGAAAACTTTTAGAAATCTCAATGATTTCATTTTCTGTTGCCGGGTTAAAAAATATGGAATTAGGATATTGGCCTACAAGAGAATTTAGATGAGAGTTAGGAGTAGATTGTATTCTTTTAGCAAGATTTGGACCTATATTTGAGAAATAGTTACAAAATCTATTAGCAATTTCTATAGGATCAGAAATTTCAAAATTATCTACTTTAAATGATGATGGGAATTTCAATTTTGACCGCTTCTTATTTATGACTTCATTAAGTGTCTTCCAAGTAGATTTAATGTTTGATTTCTCATTTTCTAATCTCTTTGTGTAATATAATGATTTGGCAATTCTCAAAGAGTGGGTTAATTTGTTTTTATACCTTTTATAAGATATCTCATTAGCAAGAGTTGGGTCATATATTGTTTATATAGTTTATTTTTCCTTTTTATGGATCTTAGCAAACCTTTTGATAACCAAGGCTTGTCAATCTTGTGATGTTTTATCTTTATTCTTCTTAAAGGAAAACAGTTGTTATAAATTTCTGTATACTTAGCTAAAAATAATTCATGCCTTCACAGCTAATTGAAAACACAGGCAAGTGATCAGAAATATCTGTAAATAACAGGCCACTTGTAGATATGGAAGAAAAGTTGTTCGTAAATATGTTATCGATTAATGTTGAAGTATGAGCTGTTATTCTTGTTGGACAAGTTATAAGTGGAATAAACATATTTGAATACATTCCATCTAAAAATTCACAAGTCAAGGAATGACTGTCATAGTTCAATAAATTTAGGTTAAAATCCCCCATTATATAACAGGTTTTATTTTCATTAGACATTTTTCCTATTATATCATTATACTTGCTTAGAAAAGAATTGGCATTTTGATTTGGTGGTCGATAAATTATTCCAATAACGATATTTTTACCATGTGGTATGCAAACTTCAATAAATAAGGATTCCGCAACATCATCATCAAAAATTAAATCAGTACGTATTTTAGAGGTAAAGCAATCCGACAAGTACAAACCAACACCTCCACCAATTTTATTAACCCTGTGTTTATGAAAAAAATTATATCCCTCAATATCAACAGAGTGTTCTGAGTTTTTTAGCCAAGTTTCAGTTATCCCAATTACTGAAAATTCAATATTCAAAGTACTTAATAAATTTGTTAAATTTGATAAATTACTTTCAAGACTGCGGATGTTTAGATGAAATAATGAAAAACTGGGAGCACAGGAAATCTGTGATTTAACATTTTGTTAAACTGATCTTCAACAAAATAATCGCAGTGGTTAACGAAATTATCATAAAAGTGTGAATCTGGGTCCAGATCATTAGACAGAAAGGGGCGATGGCCTGCACCCGAAATCAATGGATTATAATTTAAACTGATTAATCTCTCATGACTGAAATTAATAGGGCCGTTTTTTAACTCAAACATTTCTAAGAAAAATTCAGAGTCGTCAAGACCATGAAAAGGCAAAGCATTCATTGACATTGAAGACTGCATTATAAATAAAATTAATATACATTAATTATTTAGAATTACTTAGCTTCATAGAGAGCTAGGGTGTAAAATTTGCACTGAACAACTCAAACTCCTTCATTGATTTGAATGATACAGCAGCATCAGTATCAGTTTTCTTCACATAGGACTTGCCATATTTGGTCCAAGCATACTTGAAATTATATTTTCTCCGGAACTCCCTCACTTTATAAAACAGCTCCTTGGCTTTAGGAGTCAAGCTTTCGTTAATATATAATTTGTTCACTGATTGCGAAAAACCAACAAAATTTGATGAGTTGAGACCTCTCAAACGACCTTTATTATGGTATACAGCATCTCTGATGTTTCGACTGGTAAATTTAGCAATTATTGGAGGCGTAGTACCTTTTCTAGATGGTAAACGATGACTCACTGAGACATCAGA